TTAACTCGCTCTTTAACTGCTTTGCAACGGCTACAGCACTTTCCACACCTTCTACCATGACTTTGCGAACACAGAGTCGCTTGTCAGCCTCAGTCAAAGCACGAGGACGACCACCTTTGTTGACCTTAAGGCCAGGTAAGCGCTCATTTCTGAGCTTATCAATGAAAGTGCGGCTAACACCAGTCCGTCTACGTTTATTTCATGAATAATTTGAGGATATTTATACTAATTCAATATTGATAAAATATGCGATTGATAATAATAATACAAATAATAATAATATAAAATAATGATAAATGATAATTATAATAAATAATAAAAATGATTAAAACTTGCATATACATGCAGTGGTAATGGTACTGGTAGCAGATACCAAAAATGGTATCACTGTTCAAAAAGATAATTTGAAGTCAGTCATTCATGACACAGTGTCACTAGTGACTGACTTTAGAAGTGGGTGGGTGACACCGCATCTTCATCGTCGTTATCGTCACACTGTGCTACACCATAATAAGACTATCAAGGTCAATGACCTTGGAGTTGAAGAGGAAGCATTTGGACGAATTAAAGTTCCGAAAAAGGAAATTGTGCTTCACTACAGTATCAATGTAATACAAAAGTATGACACAAGGAAGTCAGTTGTAACAATCCAAATATCGTGCAAAAAGTCATGACAGATTACATTGTAATATACATAATGTACCCAATGCGGGGATCGAACCCGCAATCTTCCGCTTAGAAGGCGGACGCCTTATCCATTGGGCCAATCGGGCACCTTTGGCTTTGTCGTGCTTAAAAATCATAAGTTCCTTTCAACAATTCCGGCACGGACTAAACAGCACGGCCCACACTTGAACTCTTTGTCTTTGAAGGGCAAGACTCATTTTAGATCCCGCTCCTTCCCTTTTGGGATGAACGCCGTTGGTAGAACCAAGTCCTTGGTGCAGCCCTCTAAGTCTTCTGAATTGGGCTCCCGCTTGTAAGCAGTGGCTCTATACCTTCCTTTTAAAGAACGCTGCCGAATCATAAAACATATACAGTGGGCGACAAAAGTGTCCCAAAGATTTGAAAATTTCACTTTCACTACATCTTTATCATCAGCGCCGCAAGGTACAGTGGGTGGATTAATTGTCCCAGTGTTTCATTATTTTAGCTTTTCAAGTTGCTAATGATGTCAATATGGGGCGCATTGGGGCGTATATAGGATCATTTTGTAGCGCAAGACAATTTTTATAAGGTAGAAAATTTTTGGGTTTGTGGCTTATCTCAGACAGAAATGGCTAGAGTACAAAAACAAAAGCTACACTGGGACAATTAATCCGCTTACCGGCCATAGTAAGCTTTACTTACATTGCACCATTTTTG